CAAAAACAAGACATTCATAATTATTGGATAAAATGCTGTCATTCAAAGCACAAAAATAGCCCACCTAAATCAAGTATGTAGAACATACGCGATAAAAGATAAAAATGTGAAATGTCATCTGCAAGGTGAACCATTTCGAATCTTTTTCACGAGAGATAATATTTACTCAACTGAAAATTTTAAATGGAAGGTTGATTAAAGAAAAACAGTAATAATCACTTGCAAAGTTTTACATAAGATAAATATTCGATAAAGTATCGGGAAAAAGGAACACAGTAACGAATCAATGACTAAAAACATGCATCTGAACACGAATAAACGATGATAGTTGATCAGCTCAGAAATGTAACTCAACAGTTCAATCTCAGCATTGAAATCTCTGAAAAAGTAGCCTAGCGAGTCTGGAAGCACTCAAAACTAAAAAAAATTCTCAAAACAGCAGCAAATAACCTGTTAAGGATGGTAACTTAAAGAGTAGGATAAACCCAATGAGAAACTATTTGTCCTTAAAACTGGCTGAGCTACTGTCCCCTTCATTGGAACGGAAGTTTTGTGAAAAGTACCAAAGTTTACATGAAGTAAAAGCAAATGTATACCAATGAAGAATAATCCTTTAAATGAAAGGAATAAAAACTCTTTTATCTAAATACCATTGGAAAATTTCATTTATACGACCGGTTTCGGGATTGATCTCATTATCAAGTTTAAAACTGAAATCTGTCTCTCCTGTACTTGAGGTACTTGAGAGACAGGATGCCAACTTAAAATACCACCATGAAAATTCTAGGGGTTGTTAAACTCATAAATTCAAGAGAAAAGACCTACATAAATCAAGTTGCTCGTTTAGGGTTATATGTTTCTGGTTTGTGATTGATTTGTTAATTTCCATGGCCTCCAACTAAATTCATGTTTCTCTCTTTATTACATATATGTAGGATTTTGAGATCACACATATAAGTATAATCCTCGTAAAATGTATCAAGCTCCAGCAGAATGTATAACTTTTGTCTCTTCTGTCACCAAGAAGCTTCACAGGCCGTGGCAATATCAGACACAAATATTTTACTATAAATTCATCAATGCCACACAACCACTGCATTTGTACCAAGATCGATCTTCTCCACACTTTGACAAAACCGCTACCTATCCAACATTCACCAAATCTAATTTATTCTATTCGCCCATTGTTCCTAATTATAATCATCACCAGAATAAAAATAATACCAATTAGATCGATAAAAACGATTCAACATACATGAAAAACTCAATGAAAACACCATATAATTTCAAAGATGTGGCGCAGTTTATAAAAACAGATCCATTAAAGTGGACTGAAAACACAGCGAAACGTGCTGAATTCGTATCACATGTTCGTTCAACAACAATGAATATTATTAATCCATCAACTTCGCAAGGTTAAAAAACAAGTGAACTTCTATTAGAGATCATATTTTGAATCGACTCCGTAACGAGAGTGTTAGCAAAGTGATCGACACGATAATGCCTAATTATTCATGTAGTCTAAGAGAAATTGGGAAATTTGGGAGAAGGAGTTGATAAAAATGGAAACTCGCTTGTCAGAATAACAAATAATCAATCAATAGCTAGAGATATACAAGATTATTGTCATAGAAAAGTGAACTAAAAAAATATCAATCAGATCGATATCGAAACAAGTTTTAAGTTTGAATTGAAGGGGTTATATTTTTAAGGAGTGATTAATTTTTTGGGAAAGAAAGTTTTTGGCTTTCTATCATTATCTATCAAGATGGAGTAGTAGAAAGCCAAAAACTTTCTTTCCCAAAAAGTTTTACATGTTCATCAAACTATGTTAGCACTAAAATCTTAACCCAAATTCATCATATCGTTGAAATTATCATGATTTATATTGCCTATTTTACTCGAAAAAATGGAAGCAAAATTTAAATAACTATATTTATTTTCTTTGTATTAACACGTTCCCTAGGAAAAACCATACTTATAATGAAAATTAAGAAATCTGTAGTGTTCAGAGATATATACTATCACAGATGTGAAACCACAGAAAACTTCAAACAATTCATATGAGATATTTGTAGTTTTACAGATTACTCCTATCGAACATTCGTTCATTTTCCATCAAAATGAATGATGAACTTAAACCTCTGAGGATTTCAATCATAGATCAAATAAAGGCTAGCTATGATACTTCGTTCAAGAACTTCAAAATTCCTTATTAAATTATGTCAAAATACAAGGATCGTTGAAAATAACTCATTAGTGATAACTTCTTATGGAAGTGTAAACCACTTCGTTACCTAACGCGTAACGGCGCCAGTCTATATGGCTTCCCTTTCTCTCACGCATACGGCGGCGGAAGGCAGGCTCCTCCTCTCTCGTCGTCGTCTCGTTTGTTCAGTGTTTATTGTAGACATACTGTTGCCAGCATTATACAAGTCTAACTAGCAAGCATGTAATATTCTTTCATTATGTGAAACGTGGCTTTAAAGTTATAATACCAATTTTAATAATTATTTTATTCAGTTCCATCCCATTCGAGAAAGTGAGGAAAAGTTACTAATCTTATTATGAAGCATGAAAAACCTCAGCTTTTATCACAACCTCATGGTGCTAACTTGGTTAGCAAAACGCACGTCGGGAGGCAGTGTTTTTGTTCTGGTGTAAAAGTGTTTCCGTTAAATTTATTTTACACCATTTCCATTTATCAAAATAACGCAAAATATTACGAAAGCACAACAGAACAATAGATACGTTATTGTTATTTACGCGGACTTACAAAAACATCTATTAAGACCATTCTCACAAACACTGCAAGTAATAATTCAGTCTCCTTAATATTTGTTAATCTAACTTTTATAATACTATTTTATTATAAAAGTAAATAACAGTAAATACTGTTGATATATTCGAAATATAGTGCTATAAAAGTACACATTTCTCGCTTGCTGCTTTACCTAAAAAACCCACACTTATAAAAGTAATTCAACTTCTTGTGATTTTCAATCCAAAAGAAAAAACATGTATTCAGAATACATGGAACAAAAAATTAAAAAAAATAAGAGAATGGAGTTCCACAAGGCTCAGTCCTGGGACCATCACTGTTTTTGCTCTATGTAAATGATTTAACACAACACATCGAAACTATTTCAATAGCTCATTTTGTTGATCGCAACAAGAAAACAGAATCTAGTTGTATTATAACAGAATGCCACAAGATTAATCGAAAAGACGCCAGCTCCAGTGGGTTCCAAATTTTCCAGTATGAAAAGTGTAGCGTCAATTTTATTATTCAATCGGAGAATCAGAGATTATCTTGTAGAAGGGTATTTTTAAAATATTAGTTAATTTTTTGTCAAGTTTATGTTTTATATGCGACAGACGCCTACGTCTTTTGGAATCGAATACATATTTCCCGCTAGGATCATAGAACCTAAACTATTTATGTATGGGGAGTCACGAAATCAGGAAGAATACATTGAAAGAAAATACATTCATATATGTTTCGTATTGTTACCAAAAAGCCGTGATTAAAGATAATAACTACATATTTCACTCATATTTAGAAGGAGTTTCATAAAAGTATTGGTAGTTCTCATTTCAGTTATTGTTCTGATTATTATAATAGGTAAATTCAGTTGGACATAGTTCTGCTATGAAATACATCCATTTTGTGTGAATAAAGATAGTTATTCCATAGAAGATTCCCTTTTTTGTAATTAACAAAATTAGTTGGGCTGTAAACATTATGTCTAAAACAACATCTACCCGTTCTATTGGAAATGCGGCGTACAAATACGGCACCTACCGGACATGTTGAAACTAAGCCGGATGATAAGACTAAAACGAAGTCCAGTCAACTATTTTCATATACTGTTATGTTTTCTTGTGCTTCCCGTGAGTAAAACGTAATTCCTTTTACCTATTCATTAGTGCATATGTCTATAACAAACATAAAAACCCTAAAAAATAAACATTAACTATGTTTGTCATTTAGTTTTTCCGATCAGCTGTTAGTCAGCGGCGGCTCGTCAGAGGAGGCAAGGAAGGCTTAGCCTCCCCATAAAATTTGAGGCTATTCATCGCAATAAATTAAAAGATATTGACAAATAATTATGATTATTTTTTTCTTAAAATCGTTGGGTATCATTACTCTACCATTAATTTTTAATATAAATACATAATATGCCCGAAAAACACTATCTGCATCAACAACCCTCAATCGCAACGTCCATGAACGAATAACGAATAAACCATCAACCCGAAACAATAAATGCCATACGNAAGTATTATTATTTATTGACTGAGAAGAGTTCATTTATATTAAATAACTCAAAGACAACCTTTTTTCCTTGTTTTTGTTTTTTTAATGGTCAGTTTCATACGTATAATTTTCGGCAATACACAATTTTTGTTTGCATTTATGCAAATATTACGTATTTTGCTTTAAATGGGTGCGATACCCCAAAAAATGTTCGCGCCTCCGGCGGTTTTTTCTGTGTGTATAGTCTTTATGACTTTAGCCTCCCCTGTTCTCCAATGCACGCGCCGTCACTGCTGTTAGCTGTTTCAGTGGCGCCACCATCGGTAGATATTCTTCCATAGACCATAGTATAAAGGTATCTTTATACTATGCCTAGGCCTAGACCTAGCAAATACAATCCTTCGAGATAGAAAACCGCCATTGCATTTCTCTCACTCGGCTCACAACAACCAATGGCAAAAATCATTCATTTTCTCTATCCTTGCGAGTTTTATCGTTACTTGGAGGGTTTAATTAAATCCATCTCTCTTGATAAATTAATGAAAAACAAAATGGAGTTAATTAAAACATCGTGTTTCAACTGAATCAGTAAAAATGTCATGAATACCTAATGTTAACAAGATAAATGATCAATCGGGTTAATAAAAAGCTTTTGCAACATCGTCATAAAATTATCCCGCTCACCAAATTAAATATTATTTATCATGCGAAATAAAAACAAACAAAAGAAAAAACTCACTGCCAACTGATGCCATCTCTGAGCAAGGCGTGGAAGCCTCGGAAAGACAGCCTCGCTCCTACAGAGTTCGATCTCTCTTGCCTCATATCGCCGCTAGATTGAGCCGACATGATTGAATACGACACGTTATCGAAACGAACCCACTAGACACTTAACTAAATGAATCTGAAAATGAAGAAGTTAAAAATCAAAAACAAAATAAAAAACAAACAATAAAATAAAAAATCTATGTACAGGATGATTTTTGCCAGGAATCAATTAAACGTAGGTATAACGAAATGTGGTGATAATTAAAAATGATATCTTCAATTAATCCTAATTTCTAGATAAATCAGAAGTGGGCAGCAACTTCCTCATTTCAGGTAGAATTTCTGTAGATTCAGATTTTGAAGTTGCAATTTCAGTTCTGATGGAAGTTCATCCAGAATAGTATATGTATATTATATACCGTTCGAAGCCAAAATTAAGAAATTGAAGTTGGTTTTTAACAAAATATCATCATTGAATTTCGGCTTTGATTTTAGATTGTATTGTTGTTAAATTAGTTTATTAAATTTCGACTCTAAAATAAGAATTTTAATGAATTTCCGATCCAAGTCGAAACTCAACATTTGTGACCCTTTAACGCCGTCATATGTAGATATCTCATTATAGTTGTGAAAATTTTGTTTATTTTCATAAAATAAACAAAAAGAACTGGCCGATACTTGAAAACAATCCATATTAAAACTAATCAATACAGTTTATTGTATGATTTTCACTATAAAGGGTTTTACAAAAACCACGACACGTGTTTCGCTGTACTATAATAGCTTCCTCAAGCGTAAACTAATAGTTACTTCTAAATTACAACCAATTTATACTCTATAGTCTATTTCAAAAGAGTGTAGAGTAATAAAATCTCATTAAGTATTCAAAAGCGCTACAGGATGATCCGTCAATAAATTCTGTCACTTCCCTAGTCCGCATTGCAAAATTATGTCGTTTCATAAAGAGCAGGTAGGTATCACCCTGTTTTAAGGGATTTGTCCAGTTGACATGTTCTTCATTGAGAAGTTTCTATGGCTTAGATTCTTTTATACTAGATAAATAGTTTTGGTTTCACACAGTGAGTGATTCTTTTAGTGATGTTCCAGTTATTCCCAAACAAACAAATCTTTGCTTCATTTTTGGTCACCCAAACTATAGATGGTTTCATGTATTTAATCACAATATTACATTACTCATACATCGTATCCAGTTTCCATCTCCATGTGGGTAGGTTCTAGTTAGCATCAATGCTAACTCCGCATTCTTCATCCTGTCCAAATGCTGAGTTCAGGTCACTCTTGGAACTAGTATGATTCCCTGTTATTCAATCTACCCTATTCCACCTCGAAGTACTTTTATCTTCTTCTTCTTGATGAATGGGGCTATGGCTGGATGGGTTTATATTGTAACAATATTCAGGGCCTGTTGCACGTCACTATATACTTATATTTGCCTTAGACAAAGACGACAAAGTTGTCTGCTTATCCCTATATTCTATATCCATTACGGTCCAGAAGACGTAGTATCATTACAAGATTCTGTAACAGAACAAGACCAGAGCCTTCTGAAGATGGCTAGGCCTTGCTATCCGTGCCATTACCGTTTGCCCCATGTCGTCAGTGTAAAATCTCAGTCTAAGAATGCAATCTATCTACCTGCAGCTTAAATCGTCAATCTCTCTTCTTCTAGCTCCCCTATGATTGATTCTAAAATCGGATGCTGTCTCAATATCCAAGAAACCTGGTGAAGGAACAACTCTTTTCAGGAGTTGTCTCTAATTGTCAAGTAGTTTTTCTAATGGTTTTGACTTGAGGCACGTCTCAAGACATCAGGCCGATCCCTGTATCATTTTTTCGGGTTTCAAACCTAACTGTTTCTGAAGATAACACACAGTTTTTTGAAAAGAAGTTCGGGTATTTTTAACGACATAACATATAAAGGCGTCTGATCACGACACCTACCAATCCTCTTTCACTGTCCTCCAGTTGGTTCATATCAATTATGACATCTCGCGTCACGAAACCGAAAGCTCCCTGGCTCACCGATACTTTAAAGTTGATGATATCTACTAGAGATAAAGCTCGGAAGCGATATCAAAGGACGAGATCAGAAGCTCATTTACGGTATAACAAAGACCTCAGGAATTATGTAACAAAAGCAATTATTCGTGAAAAGAAAGCATACTTCAATTTCGAGTTGAATAGTTGTCATTCACGAGAAATGTGGAAAATTCTTAAAGATCAAAACATAGTCTTTAATAAAAAGAATGATCTACCAGAAAATTTGAAGAATGTTTCAGAGCTAAACGAATTTTTTGTCAACTCTGTTTCTGAGGTTTCTCCTCCAGTTGAACTTTTGAATGTTTATCAGAATCAAAAAATAATGGATGACGAATTCAATTTCACCAAAATAAACGACCTTTTTGTGTATAAAAGTAATAAGAAAGTATGTTAATTTGCGGAGGTTTTAATGAGATGTAATCAATATATGATCCCCTTGATTTCAAACTTTATGTGTGGATTATTCCAACAGCTCAGAATATAGTAACTTATAAATGTAGCTCCATTTAAGAAATATTTTGTTCGTATATCTCCAATATGAGTCATGTAAGAGAAGATACTTAGAATCGGTCTGAGTTATATATTTTCATCTTAATTTAGCATTCTTTATCCATCAAACAGTTACAGACACAATATTCATACAAGCCGATGCAAATTGATCGCATGTAAATAATCTCCAAAAAATTCCGATAAGAGCGATTCAACAAACAACTGAAATAACTTTCGTTGAAGCTGTTTTCGAACATAAGATGATCTGAAAAAAAATTAACAAATGAGTCACTGAATGAAAAAATCACCTAGTAGATGATCGTAGTGGTAAAAAATGTGTTATGGAATCCAATTTTGGTAGGAGTTCCTGTTATCATATCGAACATCAACGAGTATAAACTGCGAGCAAATCCATATCTTATCTCTTGAAAATTTATGGCAGGATTAGAGAAATTCAATATCTAATATCATCCACAAAATTTTCGCACGTTTGGTAAAAATGTTCGAACAATACAAATGTTAATTGGAACAATTAATATCCATCATGCGATTGATTTTGGCAGAGCTCGAGGGATACAGATTTATAAATATTGGTTACTTCTCATCAGCAAATAAAATTTCCCAGAGTCAGGTGCAGTCAAACAATGCGCACATTTGGACTTTTATCCGATAATATGATAAATGGATTCAATTAAATTTTTCGCACGTTTACACTGCATTCTAAAAGACTTATAACAACCGATGTTACTAAAACCAATGTTAACGCCTGCATAACCACCATTTTCGATGTGACTTCTTTATAATGGAAAATAAGGTATTTTATAAGTGCTTTCACTTATATGCCTATTTTAGATTGACATTTTCGAAATGAATGAAAATTTCTGACAAAATATAAGAACTCATATCATATCTTCTAGAAATATGCTAATCAAACAAAACTTGAAAATACACCATCTAGAAATACAAACTGCCGATATATTCACAATCAAATCTTACAGAGGATGAGTCCGATAAACTTGTTATCGATGTTTGATAAGGAAATTATGGAAAATTACAATGGGGAATGTTCCTCAATTTGGGTTATTACAGCAAATGCAAGTTTGAACAAAATAAAGTTGAGTTTAATTCATGAGTTTTTCAAATTCACTTCGAGAAGTATTCAAATTGATGTTTCAAATGTTGGGTTTTGATTTTTAAAGGGATTTGTTTCTAATTCACATATTGGCAACAGCGCCTGTATCAAGTTGAAAATAATTTATACGTACCTAGATATTCTACTTTAAAAAAGGAAAATTATCTTTATAAATCAACAATTAAGATTTCAACAATTTCACCATAATCAATTGTGAGCAATGAGGCATATGTCCTCTTTTATGAACAGTAGGGAACGAAGCAGCACCTTTGATGTGTGTTTTTTTTAACAGATTCATTGTCCTTTATTAGCTATAACCGATGTTGCCAAATGGTGGAATAGAAACGAATCCCTTTAAATGTTAAATACATTATTTCATTCCTCTTTTTTAAGTATTTAAATCATTTTTTGAAGAAAGAGGTTGAAATGATGAGTTTAAAATGCGTTGTTTTAGAGCTCTTTTATGAAAACTACTTGATTTTCGTCAGGAGGAACATTCCCCATTACAATACTCTCATACAGTATAAGTTTTTCTAAAAACTAAAACCAACGAATCTTAATTAAATTTCAATTAACCAATTTGGCGCTTTCGCTTGCATATGTAACATGGTAACGTGAGTTTTGACCTTTGGTATTGAGTACTGCCATTAAAATCAAATTTACAATGAACATAATATGAGGGAGATCGTAAACAAGATAAGCGAATCTCTAGTTCCATTTGCGCTTGAATCAACACAGACTATCCCGGATAACAGTAATGGACCTTAGCTGCCGTTGCAAATAATAAATAATTGTCTCACCATTCTATATAGTTAGTCTATATACAAAGGTTTCACAGTTAAAATGAGAAATATAAAATGGAACCTATTTCGTGACCGCACCAGATATTCAAAGATTAAATGGTTAAAGGTGGTCAAATAAACTAATTTTGACAAAGGAACACGAGTTTAATCAAGAAAGGTTCGAAACGCAATCTTTTGGATGGATCAGAAAATAATAGAATTGAAATTTCGGAACCTTAGCTCGGTTACCAAATATACTTGAATGTTGCCCCTTTGTTGAATTTGATTTATAACAATGAAAATGGTAAATAGGATTAATTTTATTTCAGGTAATATGATATAAATGGATTTGAAATCTCTGAAAAAATCTATAAATAATTAAAAATATTAGCTGAAAAATAACAATTATATTGAGCAAAAAAACTGAAATTACAATGAAATAAAATACAAGCAACAATCAACATTGTAATTTCAGTTCTTTTACAATGAAATGAAATACAAGCAACAATCAACATTGAAATTCTTATTTTTTTAAAAGACCTCGTATGTCCAGTTTGATGAGGTTGTTCTTGGAAGGGTTGAGATGTATTCATTTGTAAATTTATCACATAGAAATTGTCAAAATTTAATGGTCATTAAGATTCAGAATACTTAAATATACAGTGAGGACGT